GCAAATAGCATCTTGTGGAAGCTTGACAAGCATTAAGGAATGTGCTGCATGCTTTATTTTGGCAGGTCCTAAACCTTCATGCAGCTCATTTATCTTTGTTTTAGGATAAATCTGTAGAAGATTGTTGGAAATGTTTTTGTAAATGCGTATTGCTTTGGCTATATATTTAAGAAGAAAAAAAACCCCAAAATGTATAAATATTTATGAACAATGCCATCTCTCCAAAAACATAACTTGAACTTGATGCATCCATACATGCTACCTCAAATTCACATGATCAATCAAGAAAGTTGAATATTACATCCCACAAATCCAGATTCAAATTCCGGTCCATTGCTAAATCTTCCGTCAAGCCAACCGACGAAAATTATGATTGTTCTTCTATCACATCGTTTGAGTTCCTGAGAGGATTGTTAACAAAATCAAAAATTAAGTCGAAAGCAAACACTAAGATGGAACAAACTGCAAACACCAGGGGAGTATTATTTATTTACTTGGGGGATTGCGAGTCAATCTGCATTGTGACTGGTCCATCATTGACCAAGTTGACCTGTTTATTACGCCATTATTTATATATAAATGATCCAAGACTCAGAGAGATTTCTCAGGATAATGCAGAAAGAGTAAAATAAACTCTTTACCTTCATCATTGCTCCAAACACACCATCTGCATGCACACAACCCGTAAAAGAGATCAAATGCATTTCGAAACGAAATGAAAGAAGCTAAAATTGAAAACATCTGATTCTGAACAAAAGATTTAATAGTTCATGAAGCAAAGCAAGCAATATCACACCTTTGACTACATCTGGTTTGTAAGATTTTCTGAAGCTATCCACCAAAGAAGCATAAAAGGGCTTTGCATTCTGGGGCGGCATCGCCACGTGGAAGTCTGGCTTGTTACCCTTCAACACTCCGTACAATGTAAACTGGCTCACTGCCATTCACACTCTCACAGCATTAGACTTTACTTCCAAGCAATAACCACCACAAAAATAAATAAAATTTACCCAGTAATACTTCATAATTTCTCTGCATTACCTGAAAGATAAATACAAATTTGTTCAAGTAAATATAAAAGCCGTTAATACAGTTGAACTTAGAAAGGGGAAAGATGTGAAATTACGTTTTGGTCCCATCCTCTGCCGGAGCTTTCATTTGGGAACAGCCTCATATTCAACACCTTCCGGCATCTGAAATTTTTAATTAACTTATTTCGGTTTAATTTTGAAATTGAAATCAAACAAAAAAGAGAGAAGCTCAAGAGTCAAGATAGATAGTACATGTAGTCGGCATCGGAGTTGGAATCGGACTCATGGAGGCCCACCAGGACCAGCAAACCCGGCCCAATCTCCGACACCGTGCGCCCTTCTACCTGCAAATGCGAGCAATTTGCAATCTTACGCCGCTGAGGCGTTGGATAATGAAGAAAAACAAAATAAAGAGAGAAAACTCAGAGAATATGAATGTGTACGGACTGACCTCGACGCTTGCGGAGGCGACTCGCTGGACCACGGCTCTCATCGCTCTGATTGGTTTGGGTTTCGATTGGACGCGGAAGTTGTTGTGGGCTTGGACTTGGAGAGGCGCTGGCAATGCCAATGGCAGGCAGTACATGTTTTTCTTGTATTTTTCTTATTTTATTATGCCCCTAAATAAATATACGTCCTTTTTTATTGTTTTTATTCCGCGTGGAAATGATAAAAACAGAAACCAGTCAACTTGTCAACTTGTTGAATCTGTTCACGAAGACCATCCGCCTCTACAACCAGAAAAACTTGTATCAAACGGGAATAGCTGCTCATCAACTGTTTGAACTCTTCAAACATTCACAAAAGCCTTGTATATACAACAAACCCCGAACACCAAAAAGAGACCAAAAGTCCAAAGCCGATCCAAAGGGTACCCAAGAATGAACTAGGACAGGGAAAATGTCTAAACTGACCCACCACATGGAATGAAAAAGAACAAAAAAATTATCATAACATATGCATACTACAGTCTTTCCTTTTCTCCCCATGTTTTCTTCCTCTTTTCACACCTATTGAGCCCATTTTCTCCATTGCTGCACCAAAAGCTTGAAAGAACTTTTGCTTATCTTTTGCCAAAGCCTGGACAATCGGCTTGGTTCTTGGGTCCAAAGATAAAGCTTGGTCTGATGCTAGCAAGCCCAACTTAGCCTCTAGGTTCCCATAATAGGCATGGTCAAACACAAACGGTGTAGTGACATCAAATGGTGCAACAATGTCAGCATTTCCACCATAATGTGGGCATGACATTCTTAGGGCCCTTAGGAGTCTCGGGTCGATAATCGGGTCGGGGTTCTTGGATCCCCTGTAGTCATAGAGCCTGCTTACAAAGTTCTGGCAATGAGCAAAGCCAAATGTATGTGCACCAGAAAGAACAACCAGGTCTTCAAGTGTTAGGCCTTTTGAACTGAAGAGTATGAGTAGCTGATCCACCGTGAAATTTGCTTGGGGAATATTTGAGGCCACTTTTGAGGCCATTGATATTTTCCCATCCCACCTCCCTTTCTTAACTTGATAGTATGGACCCCCTGCCTGCCCGCCCCCATTGAAATTAAAATTAGAAAAAAATGTCAATACGCATTTAAAATTAAAAGGGTAACGATTTTGACACTCCCACCCTCTTGCTTTAGTTTCCGGCACAATGTGTGTACATACAAATTATAAAATACTTGATTTGGAGGAGTGCCGGGAGCTAAATTGGGAGTGTCAAAATCATGGCATTATGTCATATCACAGGAGCTGGTAGCAACCACAGGTCCACATTGCAGCATTATAGATTAGAAGGCAAAGGCAGAGAATCTTTGGTACTTACCAAGTGGACATAATCTCTGGCTGAAATTGCAAGTATGTCTGCACAAGACACAACACCAGGACACTTGCTCTCCACAACAGCTTTGGCTTTCCTCACACTTTCAAAGCCTTCTTCTCTAAGGTCCTTGTTATCAGGTGCATCCTTCTCTGCCAACATTTTGTTCCCCTGCTGCTTTGAGCTTATGATTATCGATGCATCACAACCCTTCAATATATTCGAACCCAAAATTGTCAGAAGAGACAGAGTGACAAAAATTAATACATTAAAATGCACATGCATGCAGAAAATTTAAACCAAACCGATGTGCATTGTTGGATGGAGTTGTGATTACTTCAACAAAGCAGTCATGGAAGAAAAGGCGAATGGTTGCCGGGCCGGAAACAGGTGATTCTTTGAACTGTTGGGATGTGATGGAGCCGATGAGCTGGTCAACTTGAGGACATGATTTGGCATAGTAATTAACAGAGAGTTGGCGGTTTGGGCGAGTCATATTGGTCCTGGTTGTAGCTGAACAAATGACAGTAGTGTTGTTCAGAATGAGCAGCAAGAGAATGGACAAAGAAATGGATGTAAAAGAAGAAGAAGAAGAGGTAAGGACAGGCATGTTTTGTAACTTTGGATTATGGTGCAGCTTAGGACAAGGAAAGAAGCAATGCCAATAGTGGAGCAGAATATAAAAGTGAAGAAGTTGGGAGAGGAAGTTTGTTTGGGACAAATTGCCCTTGGGTTGAAAAATAAAAGAGAAACAGGACCCGTGAAGCCAAGTGAAGTGGAAACACATGAAGGTCTAATTTATAAAAATCCAAAAAGGAAGCAGCAGCCCCTTTGAGGCTTTCAAAGTTATAAAATTACACAAGTGGACTGGCTGTTAGTTATTTATGTCATTTGAATCAAACTAAATATATATTTATAAGGAGGTCTAGATGCTTAAATGTCACGTTTATAGAGAATCAATCATTCACGGGTATGCCTATTTGTGATCCTCAATCATTCTTGATTGAACAACAAAGCAGCCAATTATTGTCCTACCACACAAAAGCAGATTAATGATGGTAAATTGGGTTTTACATAACAAAACAAATGCTTATTAGTTATTATGTTATTGGATAATTATTATTACTTAATTTGTCAAATTGGCAGGAGCCCACAACCTAATGCTTATAATGCTCTGCATATTTTCATTCACTAGGTCCTCTGTTTTGTTTCAGCTTTTTAACAGAAAAATGATTTGCTTGAAACCTGCTGGCTCTTTTTTTTTTCAGGCCAAAAAAGAGACAAAAAATGGTGCAGCCTTTGAAGTCAAACTCTAAAACACATGAGTTTTCCAGTGAGGATCTTAAAATAAGGAACATGGTGTGGTGGCTAGCGGCTGGCAGAGACTCTGAGCGAAGCTTGTGAAGTTATGGAAGAAGACAATGGCAACTTAGTTATAGCAGCTTTTTTCCTTTGCATTTTTTATATGCCCAACGGAAAATGTCACTTTTGAGAAAGGAAGTATTAATAAATAAAAATTATTTCTCTAAAGAATAACTTTTCCCATGTCATCTCTTTCTAACCCCTCATTTCTTATGCCTTTCCTTATTTTATGTCACCTTTCCTACACTATACATGTCACCTTTGCTCCTTCGCACCAGCAATAGTTAATATAACTACAAATCCTCTCTCTCTCTCTCTCAGCAAGTTATAGGATCACCTTTTCAGAGCTACACATATCTCCCAATCGGCTCCATTACTAGCTAGAACTGTAACTATATACACATATATAACTTGTCTCTAGTTCTGAAGAAAAATGGGCAACTGTTTTGTTCTCTTCAAGAAAAATGGGCAACTGTTTTGTTAGAATACCCACGTGCTATTCACGTGTTAGTGTTGGCATCTGTTAAGCATGGCTGTTAGTTACTTAGCCTTCAGTCCTTACAATTGTATATAAGCTAAACTGTGCATTGTAATATTCATTCAATGAAAAACGATACAGAAAATCTCAATATATTCTCTCTGTTTTTCAGTCTTCTTCTTCCTTTGTTTTCCAAATCCCTCTTCTGTTATCGGTAAAGACAGATGGGAAAGTTTTAGAATTCAGGGCACCAACTCTTGTTAAGGACATGTTGATGAACTTTTTGGGCTCTGGTATTAGTCTATCAAAGCAAGCCTCAGAGCTTCTCCCTCCTAATTATAAACTGAAGCTTGGGAAGGTTTACGATATGATTCCTCTTCTGGGTTTTGTTGCAAGTGACGCGAGCAGTGCAGGTATATTTCATCTGTGGATGTTACAGAAAAGGACAGGGCTGCTACAAGAAGGATTAAGAGATCGTCAAAACAAAGCAACAGCTTCAAGAGCTATTGACAAAGCAAATATCAGTGCAGGAGGTTCTTTCAGCTTCAGGGCTTGAACAGAAATCATGTTCGTCTATTGACAGTAACAATAGGCTTCTAGCTAGTACTAGAAAGAAATCAATAAAGCAGAAAGGCATGGGTGAGCAATGCCAATGCCCCTCCCTCCACTAACCGACCTCTGCCTGCATGGTGCAGCCTTTGAAGTCAAACTCTAAAACACATGAGTTTTCCAGTGAGGATCTTAAAATAAGGAACATGGTGTGGTGGCTAGCGGCTGGCAGAGACTTTGAGTGAAGCTTGTGAAGTTATGGAAGAAGACTATGGCAACTTAGTTATAGCAGATTTTTTCCTTTGCATTTTTTATATGCCCAAGTTACAGAAACACAGTTTTCTATCTCTTCCTTTCATTTCACACGAAACAAACCCCTTATTTCTTATGCCTTTCCTTATTTTATGTCACCTTTCTTCCTTCTCACACACTATATACATGTCACCTTAGCTCATTCGCACCAGCAAGCTTCGTCTGTCTTCATTTGTTAAAAAAAGGAAACGACCCGCCCTGGCGCCTAGCCCCCCCAGGCCGCCTAGATCCGCCCAGGCTGCCTAGGCGCCGCCTAACTCCCTGGTGTCGGTGTCCCAATTCTTACTCTCATTCCCTCTTCATTTGCCTCCCAATTCTTACTCTCTCAACAACAGAAACACAGTTTTCTATCTCTTCCTTTCATTTCACACGAAACAAACCCCTTATTTCTTATGCCTTTCCTTATTTTATGTCACCTTTCTTCCTTCTCACACACTATATACATGTCACCTTAGCTCATTCGCACCAGCAAGCTTCGTCTGTCTTCATTTGTTAAAAAAAGGAAACGACCCGCCCTGGCGCCTAGCCCCCCCAGGCCGCCTAGATCCGCCCAGGCTGCCTAGGCGCCGCCTAACTCCCTGGTGTCGGTGTCCCAATTCTTACTCTCATTCCCTCTTCATTTGCCTCCCAATTCTTACTCTCTCAACAACAGAAACACAGTTTTCTATCTCTTCCTTTCATTTCACACGAAACAAACCCCTCATTTCTTATTTTATGTCACCTTTCCTCCTCACACACTATATACATGTCACCTTTGCTCCTTCGCACCAACAAGCTTTGTCTGTCTTCATTTGGAAAAAAAAAGGAAACGACCCGCCCTGGCGCCCAGCCCCCCCAGGCCGCCTAGGCGTCGCCTAAATCCGCCCAGGCCACCTAGGCTCCGCCTAATTCTTGGTGTCGGTGTCCTCCCGCCTAGCGCCTAGGTTGATTTTTCGAACACAGCTTGTAACCTGGAACGGGCTTGCTCTGTGCCCTAGACGTTCGCAGTGACGAGTTCGGGTCAAGCCGCTCGGCTATACTATTTTTAAAAAAATTAGGGGAAAACGAGTATAGCCGTCGGCTATACTTTTTTAAAATAAAATATTAAAAAAAACCGAGTATAGCCGCGTGGAAGTACTATTTTTAAAATAAATTTGGAAAAAAACGAGTATAGCCGCGCGGCCATACTATTTTTCAAAAAATATGAACCACCATCCTAGCCTTTCTAAGAGAATGGATTCATCTTCATAGAAATCTTTGGATCTACCATATGAACCACCTTTGGCTACAATTTTTTCTCTTATAGTTCTTTTTGTGTAAAATTTGGATTTTATAACTATTGTGCCTGAATTATAATAATTTGAGAAATTGATAAATCATATCAACATGTCATGTGGATAGTACACA